CCCCTCAGTGTGGTAGGCGGTACCCTGACTGGCAGCGCTCACCATGGGCAGCGGCTCATGCTTTCCCACCATCACTGATGACCCATTCCACTACCCCCCCCCCCCCCCCCCCCAACAACCAAAGCATGTCTCCGAATCTCTGTGTATGCGGTGTCAGTAATGTGCTTATGTTGCTGAGGGTTTTTTTTGTCACTACACTCATATTAATGAGAGCAGTCTCTTTTTTTTTTACCTCCTCCTCTCCCTCCTTCTTGTGTGTTCTTTCCCCATCTGTAAATGCAATCTAGTTGTGCACAAGTGCAATGACAATAAAGCATCTCCATCTCCATCTCCATCTCCATTTAACACTCTTTGAATTTGTGAACAACTTACTTTCTAACATCCAGCAAATTTTCCTAAATGAATGAGTTATTATTATTATTATTATTATTATTATTATTATTATTATTATTGTAGGATGAGGGAGAAGAATTGTTGTTGCTGTTGTTATTATGATAATTGTTATTATTATGGAGAAGTATAGGCAGTTGACCAATAAGACAGGTAAAACTTATACTTCAACACAGTTTTCAAATTCCAGGAATATTTTTTATTGTCCTGCTTCAGAGGATCTAGCAAACAAAGAGTTTCAAAAACGTAATCCAGACAAGAGTCACTTTTGTGTTTTAGGGGCTATACACTGGCAAGATGCCCGGAAGAGGTTGTAATGGATTAAAATATTACCATTTATGTGTAAATAAATGTTTATCACAAAGTATGTAATAAACTCTCAAATACTTCGTTTTTGGGATCCTTTAACTTTAGGGACCTGAAGTGGATCTCTCACATAGATTCCATCAGAAAACAGGCCCAGCAGAGGTTGTACCTCTTCATACCATGATTCAATATTTAATGTTAATACTGTATTTTACACAGGGTATACTGTACCTCATGTGCATAACCCACTTATGATAAAATGACAGATATTTTTCAGTCCCTCATCAACTGCTGCACTCCTCACATTACACCAGTGGCGATTGCTCTAAGACTGCAAGGGAAGCTCAGCTTCCCTGAAAATGTCACCCCCCCAAAAAAAGAAAAAGTGGTGAAATACGTACTGCTGTGCGTACATTTCATTAACTAAATACGCGCTAGAAAGCCTTCATCTTTTGTTCAGACACTGTGATAAGAAGCTGATAATCACAGGTAACCGGCACAACTTCGTACTCATTCATCCTCGCAGCGCCTCAGCGCTTCACACAGCCGGACGCTCAGAGTCTGCTGACTTCAATGTGGAAGCTCAAAGTGGGTTGTTCCAGCAGCGAAATTAGACGCTCATTGGATAAATGCTGGGCTTTGTCCCGCCCCCGGATGCTCAGCTTCTCTGGAGTTCTATGACGAGAGGGCGGTCCCAACTTTCACCCGGACTCTGAGCTTCTGCATCCATGATTGGATGAGCTGTCTGAGGCGAAATCCTTTTTTGATTGACAGCTAAACAAGCGAATCAGCGATCTTGAAGAATAAAACATCTAGCAGAGCATTTTCCAAGTTATTCATTCCGTTGTTCTTAACTGCTCCGGAGACTTTACCGATCCTCAGCGACTTTTGTCTTTTAAAACGACTGCCGTTATGTTTGGCGACTCTGCTCTGTTATATACAAATTAACAAACACAATTATGATGTAGGCCAGAAAAATGAGCTTCCCCTCCTTGAAAGACCAGCAGCCGCCACTGCATTACACTAATGCCAGAACAGTCTTGTATATGTAAATTAAATGTCTTTCACAAGCTTGTACTTACTTGATTAGTCCTTGAGCCGGACCAGATGTCGGTACCACTTGGGTGGGCAAAACCTTACATATACTAAATTGTTTTTAGGGTCAATATAAGTAAAGTAAAATATGATAGACTTTTCATAGGGGTAGCTTTTTATATATTTTTTCTCATTTTGTTATTTTCCTCAATAGGCGAATTTTTGTTAACTCCAAAAGCAACACAGAAAGTCAAAAGCACATTAAAAGTCATTCTCTTTTTGGGTCACACTGCTCTTTTCTATAAATGAATCAAACCTGTGTCTAATTAAATGAGTTGATGAAGTGGGTGTGGCCCAATTTGATGGTGGAGCAGTTCTTTCAGGTATCATAGTACTTTTTAAGTTTAGTTTTTTTTTTTAAAGTTTTTATATGATAGACCTTGGTAACTGGTAGCTTTATTGTAGTTATCACTCATTAAAGTAATAGAGTGCAGCTGTTCAAAAACGAAAAATCGCCTTCCTTCAAAATTAGCTTTCTTTCATTTTAACCTCTCATTTCGGTGTGTTTGAACTATTGGCTAGCCATAGAGACTTGTAATAACCCCCTAAGTAGTATTTCAAGTAATATATCTAATACAGGTGTGTATATATAAGCTTCAATTAGCCAATTGTCAGGTCTAAATCAAGGTCTAAATTAAAGAAGTAGAAGTAAAGTAAATTCAGACTAATAGCATTATCATAACACAACCTTAATATGACACTGACATATTTTAAATGCAGGCACTCATTATACAATCATCCTGGCTGGTGCAGGGCAAGAAGACATTAGCAACAAAATAAGATCTACTCATGTATACACTCTTTATAATCATCTGAGAAAAACTCCATTCCTCCACCAAGAACTTGATGAGACTGGCTTTGTTGGCAGGGCTGCAGAGAAGTTTTCTCCACTGCTGAATATTGTGGACAGAAACAATGTTTCTGAACTGGATCCCCATGTCTGCACCTCTGTTTAGTCTTCCTGAATTTTTGATTGACATGCCCTTGTAAACGTCAAAGACAACGTCAATCCTTTCACTATCACCACCTTCATGCAGGACCTTGGCTAAAGTTGAGTCCAGCCAGCTTCCACCATGTCAGGATTGCCTTTTAATGCATTCGATTCATGCCAACTACCAGGCTGCTATCCGGAGACGGTCTCTTCATACCAAGCCATCTGTACCAAGCCCCAAGGACCATGGGTGGACCATAAATGATGAAGGGCAGCTGGAAATACAGTGGATGTGTGGTTCCCCAGCACCAGATGGGGTCTTGCAGTTGCTATCCTGCAAGTGTGTGAGGACATGCAAACCACCAGACTGCACCTGTCTCAGCAATGGGCTGAAGTGCACAAACCTGTGCAAATTACAAACTTGTGCCAACCAATACAGTGAGGAAGAGCCCCTTGCACACCCGGCAGACTCAGATGTAGAAGAAGATACAGATACTGATGTCGATTACTGATGTTGATTAATAAGTGATGACCAAAAGGAGCTATGTTAACAGACCCACTGTGACTCAGTGACAGTATTATGTACTAAGCCAAAACTTGACAGTCATATTTGCTGTCACTGTTCCTTATGGAAAGAATAGGACTTTGAATAGGAATTTGAGTTTTTCTCAGATGATTGTATAGAGTGTATACATCAGTAGATCTTATTTTGTTGCTAATGTCTTCTTGCCCTGCACCAGCCAGGATGATTGTATATTGAGTGCCTGCATTTAAAATATGTCAGTGTCATATTAAAGTTGTGTTATTATGATGCTATTAGTCTGCATTTATTTTACTTCTACTTCTAAGTCAAAAAATATCCTTAATTTAGACCTTGATTTAGACCTGACAATTGGCTAATTGAAGCTTATACTGTATATACACACCTTTATTAGATATATTACTTGAAATACTACTTAGGGGGTTATTACAAGTCTCTATGGCTAGCCAATACTTCAAACACACAGGTGAGAGGTTAAAATGAAAGAAAGCTAATTTTGAAGGAAGGCGATTTTTCGTTTTTGAACAGCTGCACTCTATTACTTTAATGAGTGATAACTACAATAAAGCTACCAGTTACCAAGGTCTATCATATAAAAACTTATTGTAGGGATGTATAGCAATAAAAAAAATCAACTAGAATTTGCCCACCCAGGTGGTACCGATATGTGAAATTTTGGTTCTTGGCTCAAGTACTAATAGTTTTTGTAACATGATTGTTTGTACATTAAGAGCAGAGTTTACCGGAGTCAAATTTCCTGTATGAGTACACATACTTGGTTCTCAATCTGATTGCTGACTGGATCTTATCCTATCTTGACATTGGGTCTTGGTAAATAATATACATAAAGGTATGGTCCATACCTGACATTTTAAAAAGCATCTTGACATAACATTTATTGAGAATTGGCACTATCAAGACTGATTAGTTGTAAACTGACACCATATAAATAAAGATTGAGACCTTTCACCAACTAGATTGATGGACAGGCTATTCATTTTTAAGCCCTTTGTTTTAGTGAGCCTATTGTATACCTCTGGTATAAGGTAAAAGGGAGAACAATTGTTGCATCCTCTTATGGCTTCCTTTCAATACTCAGTTTAAAGAAGAATCCCTATTCTACCTTGGTCTTGTTTCATACCATATACTGTACATCATAGCAGTATTTTTACAGATGTTAATGACATTTAGCGACCACTAATTTATAAATCTGCTTTTTCTGCCAGCCAGGTGTCGTGTATTCTATTTTACGAAAAATAACTCGGGCGTGGGCAAACTGCGTCTTGACATATCCGCCACTTTATTGAACTCCCCTCAACATAGATCCCCGCATCACGTGACCCCACACACACAATCCTATTGGTCTACTGTCTTACTGTAACGTAACCTGCGTAAAACATTAACCCCTCATGTACTGTATTCAGATACACCACATCTCCCTTTTTTCAGAACATGTGAAACATTTTTTTTTCTTTTAAAGTACACCTTTTCAAGTCCCTCAAAACCTGTGAAGGAAAAACAAGGTTAAACAAATCCTGATAAACTCATACTCTTTCTATTACTTTCTTAACTTCTTAAATCTCATTTTCCAAACATAACATTTTCTCTAGTTAATATCTCCCCAGTAACACTGATACATTGGAAAACATTCTCAGGTCAGCATGAACATTTGACAAGATTTTTTTTTTTTTTCATTTTTTTTTTCACAATGAACATATATATTTTTTTCTCAACCACTTATAAGTCCAGTCTAATGGGCTGTTTAATTGCTCTCCCAGACCTGGTTCTGGGGGTGGAAACCCCAGGAGAGGGAACAGGGGACCCTAAAGCAGGTGGTGTGTGACCCTGCTCTAGGACCGGCAGTGGCTCCTGTTGCTGCTGTCCAGCCTCATCTTGTGATGGAGACTGGAGTGGTATAAGATGCAGGCGGTTGCGCCTTACCACCCCGTGTGGCACATCCACAAGGTAAGATCTCGGTGAGGCGTGATTCTGGATCACCGTCCCTGGTGTTTTTGTGTCAGTTATCCACACCTCCTGACCTGGTGACAGGCTACTGAGTGGCTTTGCACAATGTCGTCTGTTGAAGTTTGCGGCGTCTGACGTCCTCTTCTCCCTTTCTTTCTGGACCAGCATGCTGCGGTCGGGCAGTGCTGGGCATAGCTCCGAAGGATGTGTCGGCACTGTGGTGCGGAGACGTCGACCCATGAGCAACTGGGCCGGGCTGTATCCATTTTGAAGAGGTGTGGCTCTGTATGCGAGAAGAGCCATGTACGGGTCAGTTGCCTTCTTCAGAAGATTCTTCATTGTCTGTACAGCGCGCTCAGCTTCGCCGTTGCTCTGTGCGAATTTGGGGCTGCTGGTTAGGTGTTTGAACCCATATGCTGTGGCGAAGGAAGCGAACGCCTGGCTGGAGAATTGAGGGCCGTTGTCAGACATGAGAATTTCCGGAATGCCATGCCTAGCAAATATTGATTTGAGATGGTTAATCACATCATTGCTTTTTGTGTGTGTCAGCAGGGCAATTTCGACGTACCTGGAGAGGTAATCAAAGACTAGTAGGTAAGTTTTTCCCTCCAGTTCAAAAAGGTCAGCCCCCAGCTTTTGCCATGGGCGCTCGGGGTAGTCTGACGGCATGAGCGGCTCACTGTGATTGCGGCGCTCTTGTAGACATGTTCTGCATCTGAGCACCATCTCAGTGATTTGTTGTCCAAGCCCAGGCCACCACACAGTCTGACAGGCACGTGCTTTGCACTTCACGACTCCTTGATGGCCCTCGTGCAGTCTGTCCAGCACGTCGTTCCGCAAGGTTGCTGGAATGACTAGACGTGTGTCTTTCAGCAAAAGTCCATCTTGTACTGTGAGTGTAGCCCGCTCGGGCCAAAAGTGTTTCAGGAGCGGTTCCTGCTTTGCATGCTCTGGCCATCCGTCTGCACACATTTTCATGACACGAGAGCATACACTGTCAGCCTCCAGCTGTGCTTTGAGTGTGTCCATGAATGTGGGACTGACAGGTAAGTTGTTGACAATGCAGTCCACATAGATGTTCGTGCTCTCCATCAGCTCAGTGTCATTTGTAGTCATGTGTGCTTGTACGGGTGAACGTGACAACGTGTCGGCCGTCCAAAGTGACTTTCCCGGAACATGCACAATGTCATAGGAGTAGCGCATGAGCCTCATTCTAAAGCGCTGTATCCTCGAGGGCAAAAGGTCAAGTGCTTGTGCGCCTAGTAAGGACAGGAGCGGCTTATGGTCAGTCTCTAGGCAGAAGTGCTTTCCTAACAGGAAGTCCCGGAAGCGCTCACATGCCCAGGTTAGACCCAGGGCCTCCTTTTCGACTTGCGCGTAGCGTTGCTCTATAGTAGTGAACGGGATGCGTAAGCTACCGGCCTCCGTTCGCTGTCCCATTTCTGGAGGAGCACGCCCCCCAGTCCATAAGATGAAGCGTCTGCCGATACTTTGGTGTCCCTGCTTGTGTCATACATGGCCAGGACCGGTGGAGAGGTTAGTGCTTCTTTCAGCGCCCTGAAAGACGCCGCCTGGTCAGCACCCCACAGCCAGCAGTTCTTCTTTGAGAGAAGGTCACGGAGAGCTTTGTCTTTCTCTGCCAGCTGGGGTATGAATTTTCCCACCTGGTTTACCATCCCCAGGAAGCTCCTCATCTCAATCACGGTCATAGGCTCTTTCATGTCCCTGATGGCCTTTGTCTTTTCTGGATCGGGTCTGATGCCTGACGTGGTGATGACGTGCCCGAGGAAGACCACCTCACTCCTGGAGAGCTCGCACTTGTCCGTGTTCAAAGTCACCCCTGCTTGCTCGAGCTTTTTCAGCAGGGCGTGGAGACGAGCGTCGTGTTGCTCTTGGTCTTTTTCCCCACACCAGCAGATCATCGATGTGGCAGACCACCCCGTCCAGTCCGTCTATGACCTCTGCCATGACACGCTGGAAGTGCTCAGGGGCAGAGTTTATCCCAAACGGGAGACGCTGGAAGTGGTATCGTCCGAAAGGTGTTATGAATGTTGTGTATTTGGCTGACTCCTCTGCTAAAGGAATCTGCCAGAATCCCATGTTCGCGTCTAGTTTACTGAACACTCTGGCTCCTGCTAGCATTCCTAAACTCTGGTCGACTGATGGCAGGACATACTTCTCGCGACACACATACTGGTTCAAGCCCGTGAAGTCCACACACAGGCGTAATCGCTGGCTGTTCTTCTTTGGGACAACGACGATGCCAGCGCACCACTCTGTAGGCTCTTCTACACGCCTGATGACCCCCATCTCTTCCATACGTTGGAGTTCCTCTTTCACCTTTCCCATAAGAGGCAGGGGAATTCTCCGTGGAGTCTTTAAAGAGAATGGCACAGCATTTGGCTTGAGCTTGATGTGGTATGGTCGTCGGATGTCGCCTAGGCCCTTGCACAATTTTGGGTAGATTGCCTTTAAAGAGTCCATGGTGACGCTGTCGACTCGAATGAGTAGGCCCAGGGCAGTAATGGCCGGTAGCCCGAACAAAGGTGCGCTCAGGTTTTTCACCACGTAGACCTTCTCCTCCGTCTGCTTGGCTTTGTAAGTCAGCTGCATTTTTGCATAGCCTGCTACCTCTAGCTGAATCTTTCCTGGACCCAGCAAGGGTTTCTCTGGCTTATTGAGAATAGGCATTTGTGCCCCTGGGAACAAGTCTTTCAGGTCACTTTCAGAAATGGCAGTAGCGTCTGCACCGGTTTCAAGTTTGAATTTCAACACTTTCCCTTGAATCTGCACATCAGCCGCCCACATGTTGTTTTCGCATGACACAGAGCCCAGGAAGAAACTTTTCTCCTCTTCTTCCTCAATTCACGCTACTACAGCCTTGCTTCGTCAGACGCGCTGGTAATGGCCCTTTTTTCCACAGCCCCGACATTGTGCGTCATTGGCGGCCCTCCACATTTGTAGCACTGGGCGCTCTGCTGCATGCCCTTGTCTCTGCCTTGCATGTGTTGGCGCGGCCGTGCACCACTGCTTTTCAGGTTAGTATATGTCTGTCTTTTCTTTATTAGTCTGTCTATAGAGCTGTCCTCCATCTGCATCACACTGCTAGCATCACTCCTAAGTGCACTCTGTTGCTTTTTTACTTCTTCGGATTGTCTTGCCATATCGATGGCTTTTTGCAAAGTCAAATTTACTTCCAACTGCATGCGTTCGGAAAGTCGGGTGTCTGCAAGCCCCACTACGATCCTATCTCGTATCAGTTCATCGTGCAAGTCCCCGTATTTACAGTGCTCTGCTAAAGCATGCAGGGCAGTGACGAATGCATCAACAGTCTCATTGGCTTCTTGTTTTCTCATATTGAAGCATGCCCGTTCAAACACAATGTTCTTTTTCACAACAAAGAAATTCCCGAATCCGTCCTTTACTTTATCATAGTTTTTCATATCATCGTCACTCAGCTTTAGCCCTCTCAATACATCGTCGGCTTCGTCCCCCATACAATATATCAGAGTGTTAACCTGATTCTCCTCGGAGTTCGTAGTCAAGTTGCTCGCTTGTCGAAACCTCTCAAACCTCCGGATCAATTTTGTCCATTCGAGCGGTTTGCTGAAATCGAAAGGTTCCGGTGGCTGAATGTTGAATGTAGTAGTGGATGTGCTAGCCGCCATGCTCACTCCCTTTTGCTGCACATTAACGTTTCCCTCAGGTTGTTCGGTCATCATAACATCCACCAATGTCTCTCTTTCCGTCTCTGTCGCCGTGTACCGTCTTTTCTTGCGCCTTTTCCTTCCCGTCATACACACAGCACTTCTGACACCATGTCGTGTATTCTATTTTACGAAAAATAACTCGGGCGTGGGCAAACTGCGTCTTGACATATCCGCCACTTTATTGAACTCCCCTCAACATAGATCCCCGCATCACGTGACCCCACACACACAATCCTATTGGTCTACTGTCTTACTGTAACGTAACCTGCGTAAAACATTAACCCCTCATGTACTGTATTCAGATACACCACACCAGGCTCTTTTCTGATGATCTGGCTGGTTGTTTTGTCTTTCTGGCTCAAATATTCTGATACACCATCCCAAATTTCATCATAATAGAAAGACCAAAACTATTGGAATGACCTTTGATGTCCAAAACATCAGAATAAAGACATAGGTAACTTTGGTAGCTTTGCACTGCATGTAAACATTTACTCCAATCTGAAAATGAATACGGTTCTACGAATCAGTTCTTTAGTTCACTGCATAAGGACAACCAGAGAAGTCTTCAGGTCTCAGGTAAACCTTTTTTATGGTCGCAGGTAGAGTAATATATCATGGACTTTGAATGACAGAGCTCCTGGGATCTCTATTGCAAAGTACTCATTCCCAGGTGTAATTCACATTCATCTTCTTGGGCAGAGTTACCCTGGACAGAGGTTGGACTTCAACACAAACTGAGTCTCAATGGCCAGTCATCTCTTACATGAACAGGCCAACCAGAAATTAAGTCTATATCACTGAAGGATAAGAATCTTAGGAGGCAGAAGGAACCAGCAGCTCATCTCAAGTCCAGGAGACAACAAGAGATTGACAGACTTGTGAAAGAAAGAAGGTCCCTGAGAAAACGGTGGAAGAAGGCCACAGAAGTGGAAAGGAAAGGACTTGGGGGACTACAGGGCGACATCAAGCAGCGTCTTGCAACACTGCGAAGAGCAGAATGTTTGAGAAAGCAACACAAGAAGAAGGAACGAACGAGGACTGCCTTCTACAGAGACCCCTACAAGTTCGCCAAAGACCTCTTTGTCAAGGAGAAAACTGGGACCCTCGAAGCATCCGTAAGGGAACTAGAGGAGCACCTGAGGAAGACCTACTCCAACAACCAGAGGCATGTGCTAGCCAGCATTCCAGATGACATGCCACCAATCCAGCCACCGGAGCACCAGATGGAAACTAGGCCCCTTACATGGAGCGAAGTCGAAAGCACAGTAAAGCGGGCAAGAACAGCCTCAGCCCCTGGGCCCAACGGCGTTCCATATTGGTTCTATAAGAACGCGCCGGGTGTCCTGAAGTACCTCTGGAGGCTGATAAAAGTGGCGTGGGAAAAAGGAATTATACCAAAGGCTTGGCGACGGGCGGGAGGGATCCTGATCAGTTCCGACAGATATGTCTTCTGAATGTGGAAGGAAAGATTTTCTTCAGTGTTGTGGCCCAGAGGCTTTCAGCATTCTTGCAGAGAAACAACTTTGTCGACACCTCAGTGCAGAAAGCAGGGATAAGTGGATTCTCAGGATGCCTGGAACACACAAATGTCATCTGGCACCAGGTGCAGACGGCCAAGAAGGAGCAAGCAGATCAACAGCACAGCTCTGCCTGGAAAGCTGAAACTGTGGTGCCTCCAGTTTGGGCTGCTGCCCCATCTCATGTGGCCAATTTCCATCTATGAGGTCACTATATCCCATGCCAAGCGGCTGGAGAGACTGGTGAACGCACAAGTGAGGAAGTGGCTTGGACTGCCTAGATGCCTTAGCAGCATAGGCTTATATGACAACGGAGCACTCTCCCTACCAATCTCAAGTCTGGTGGAGGAGTACAAATGTGCTAAATCAAGGCTGGAGATGACTCTCACCGAATCCCGGGATCCATTCGTCAGAGGAGCTGCTCCAACCTTAGCAACGGGGAGGAAATGGAAGCCATCTGCAGCAGTCGCGGTGGCAAAGACTGCTCTCAGACACCGGGATATAGTGGGACATGTCCAACATGGCAGAGGCGGCCTTGGGTTGGAAGCAACAACACCGACATGGCAAAAGGCGACTCCAGCTGAACGGCGCCGCATGGTGGTAGAAGAAGTGCGCCACCAGGAGGAAGCAGCCAGGTGTGCCACAGCGGTCTCCCAAGCTCAGCAAGGCCGCTGGATGAAGTGGGAAGGCGTCGAGAGGAAGAAAATCACGTGGAGCGATATGTGGAGCATGGAGTCCAACAGGCTAAGCTTCATCATTAGAGCCACCTACGATGTCCTGCCCTCTCCAACCAACCTGCATGTCTGGTATGGAGAGGACCCAGCCTGTCTCCAGTGTGCAGCCCCGGCTACCCTCAAACACATCTTGGTGGGCTGCAAGACCAGCCTAACCCAGGGAAGATACACCTGGCGCCACAACCAGGTGTTGAAGTGCTTGGCTGCCGAAATTGAGAACAGGAGGGTAACCACCAATGCCATGCCTCTAAACGCCCAGACTACAGGCCCACGGAGAACAAACTTCGTTCGGAAAGGAGAGAAAAGAGGCACAAAGTCATCTCCTCTGGATCCAGCTCCACTGAACGCAGCCCGGGATTGGGAAATGCGGGTGGACCTCACCCAGAAGCTCACCTTCCCACCCGAAATTGCACCACCAACCTGCTCCCAGACCTGGGGCCTCATGTATCAACGCTTGCGGCGCAAGAAAACCTTGCGTACGCCAAAATCGGCGCACACGTCCAGATTTATCATCGCGAAACGAGCGTCGGTTCCAGCGCTAATCAACGCAAAGTCAGGAGGTGGTGTAGAAATTGGCGTTGAGCTGGATATTTGCGTTGACTGTGATTCGCACTTTGGCGACGCTGTGTGGCGGTGTTTGGTGACTCACTATGTGACCAGCGTGCACCACATCCCCGTGGCCGGGCAGCACGTCGCCCCACATGACGAACCAGCAGCAGACGGAGGGATGCGAGCTGATCCCTGCCGGGCCGCCGTCCTCGCGCGGGAGAATCTCATCGCCACAGTGTGAATGGGTAAGAAGTGAATACACAGTTCAATGAGCCAAATTAATTTATTTTCTCCACCAGACGCTCGAGGAAATTTACGAGCCGGTCCAGCCGCTCGTTGATCCCCGCGATCCCCCTGATGATTTCTTCCTGCGATTGCAGGACCCCCTCCGCGAGGACCCTTCCACTGCGTCCGGGTGGTCCAGCGGAAGCGCCGCGGCTGGTGGACGCTCCACCGCTTGTCGGCGCGCTGGTGCTGATGCTGGTGCTGGGGCCGGGGGCCGGGGTGGCCCGAATGCCGCTGGTCCTGGCCGACGACTCCGAGCCGGCGGACGGGCTGCCGCGGGCCAGGGTTCCGCAAGCCGGCGACACGGCCGACACATTAATTTCTGTGACACAATAAAAATATTAGTTCATTTCAATTCCTGCTTCTGTGTATCTGTTGCGTTTACATCTCTCTCCACGGTATCATAGGTAATGTAATCCAGTATTTAGAGGTCAGTTATGCACATTACAGTTGTTTATTGCATAAAAAGTTATCGGAAAATGAAGTTAAGGGCGAAGTATTAATCACGTCTAAAAATAGACAGAATCCCGACGTTGAAATGAAGTATAAACTTAGACTAGACGTCTAATATACGTCTTTTGCTCAGTGGGATGACAAAGCATGTGGACATTTGTGTGACACGCCACTTACCCTATAATAATAATCGCCACCACCCGCTGCTCAAACGGTGTGAGGGTCTCCTCCCCCGGACCCCCACCTGTCTGGCCGGTACTCCTCCGGAGGGCAGCTGTACGCCGCTTGACCTCCACCTTGAGGTCCGACCACTGTTTTTTAATCTCCGCGGGGGTGCGTGTCTCGGAACCCACCGCATTCACCCTCTCGCAAACTTTCTCCCACTCCAAGCGTTTTTGTTTTGCACTGACGCCACTGGACAGGCTGCCAAACAAAACACGCTGTCGCTCCTCCACCTCCGCCACCAGCACCTCCACCTCGCACGCCGTAAATGTAGTTTTTCTTGTCATTTTGTCTGCGTGCGAGGACAGGGAGACCCTATTTAAATAAATCTGCATATTTATAGGAGGGCGTAACGAGGACGGGCCCAGTCACTCCGACATCTGCGCTCAATTCCACGCTGATTGGGATTTATCAAGGAAACACACGTGGATTTCGGCGCCCGCACACATTGATACATACGGATTTTTTTCAGCGTGACGGACCTTGCGTGCGCTCGTTTCTGGTATGAGTTCCACGCAAGTGTTGATACATGAGGCCCCAGGTCCTCTGGTCCAAATCCTGCTGGCGTGTCTTCATCGTTGAGCTGACCGTCCCATGGGAAGATGCCATCGAGGAAGCCAATTTAGCAGCTCAAGCAGAGGGGCGGGGCTGGAATGTGAAGGTGTGGCCAGTGGAGGTCGGCTGCAGAGGCTTTGTAGCCAGGTCTGCCACAAGGCTCCTGAAGGAATTAGGAATCAGAGGGCAGGCCCAACGGAAGGCAATTAAAGAACTTGCCACAACAGCAGAACGGAGCAGTCACTGGCTATGGCTGAAACATAAAGATGCATTATGGGCAGCCAAGTGACCGCATGGTGCCACCGTACACCACACACCCAGGGCTGATCATCCTGTGGTGGGCCAACCCTGACAGAGGGTGTCTTGTTGTAAGTGGCCGAAACACCCAATGAAGTTGGGGCGAACAACTGATGATGTGGCGTGCTGGTGGCACCACGTGATCATTGCCAATTCCCACCCCACTCAAGAGTAGAGGACATCTCCAATGACTGTCAATTGATGTGCTGAATATTAGGGATATTTAACAACTAGTCCTATTAAGAAGTCAGACTGGATATAGGCCTATTTTTTGGTCTTAGTCCAATTTACAGGATGTCATTTGTTTTTGTACTAAACAGGACACAGTTAATATTCCATGGAGCTTTAACTCAATGTATCACCAACACGCAGTGTTATGAACAAGCGGCTATGGTTCTTTTTGTTAATTAGGCCTTAAATCAAAGTCCCAACACTGAATGAAGCTACACATCTAAGGGTTGCAAAAGTAAACATTTTTTGACAGCCTACAATAAATACATACCATAAAATTGAAATAAATTTTGTGAGATGGTATGTGTTATGTTATGTGTTATGTTGTGAAAAATAATCTCAGATTTGCATACTTTTGCAAACTTTTGGTACTTAATGTTTCCTAGTTTTGATAAGAAACATCTCTGCCTCAATCAAGTGTGCGTTTTCTCCTTCCTGTGTCCTGGTAAAGCGAGTGATCAGCAGAGGACTAATTCTTGAAACAGTGGGTTGCTCTTGGATAATGTACAGATAAACTTGGGGAAAATGCATTAAGGATTTGCAATAATTTCAGCCAAGGTTCTGGTAGAAGTGTAGCTATTTGCTAACAGTCAGTACTTAAAGATAGGGCATAATGCAATTTATTTTAAGCTCTACACTTTCTTTCTGATACCTCCTAAATAGCTTTACATGATTTTCAGATCAAAAACAGCCTCCCGTTTCTCAAACCATTGTCAACCCTCATTTTAGCCTCCGTCTTTAACATTCAGTTTGATTGCTGTCTCTTTGCCAACCAGATTATGTTAGCATTTTGGCTAGGCTTCTACTCAAATATTGCTTTTCTTATCCACCTGCCTCACTTCACCATGTACTGTTTTGTGTTCTGTGTGACTACTGAGTTATTTGGTAACCCCTAAGCACATATTCAAATGTTAATATCTATTCTACACATTTTTCACTTTTTCCACATTTTGTTATATTACAGCCTTATTCCAAAATGGATTAAATTCCTTTTTTCCCTCAAAAATTCTACACAAAATACCCCATATTGACAAAGCGAAAAACTTTTTTTAGAACATTTTGAAAATTTATAAAAAATAAGACACTCAAATGTTGCATATACATAAGTATTCACACCCTTTGCTATAAAACTCAAAATTAAGCTCAGGTGCATCCTGTTTCCACTGATCAGCCTTGAAATGTTCCTCCAACTTGATTGCAGTCCCCCTGTGGCAAATCCAGCTGATTGGACATGATTTGGAAAGCCACACCTGTCTATATAAGATCCCACAGCTGACAGAGCACGTCAGAGCACAAACCAAGCCATGAAGTCGAAAGAATTGTCTGTAGACCTCCGAAACAGCATTGTATTGGCGCTCAGATCTGGAGAAGTTTACAGAAACATATCTGCTACATTGAAGATCCCAAAAAGCACAGTGGTCTCCATCATTAAGAAATGGAAGATGTTTGGAACCATCAGGACTCTTCCTAGAGCTGGCCGCCCAGCCAAAATGAGCAAGCGGGGGAGAAGGACCTTGGTCAGGGAGGTGACCAAGAACCCGATGGTCACTCTGACAGAGCTCCAGCGTTCCACTGAGGAGATGGGAGAACCCTACAGAAGGACCACCATCTCTGCAGCATTCCACCAGTCAGGCATTTATGGCAGAGTGGCCAGACAGAAGCTACTCCTCAGTAAAAAGCACATGACCGCCCACTTGGACTTTGCTAGAAGGCACCTGAAGGACTCACAGACCAGGAGAAACAAAATCCTCTGGTCTGATGAAACGAAGATCGAAATCTTTGGCCTGAATGCCAAGCGTCATGTCTAGAGGAAACCAGGCACCGCTCACCACCTTGCCAATACCATCCCTACAGTGAAGCATGGTGGTGGCAGCATCATGCTGTGGGGATGTTTTTTAGTGGCAGGAACTGGGAAACTTGTCAGGATTGAGGGAAAAAATGAATGCAGCTAAGTACATCAAAATCCTTGATGAAAACCTGCTCCAGAGCGCTCGAGACCTTCAACTGGGGCGACGGTTCATCTTCCAGCATGACAGTGACCCTAAGCACACAGCCAAGAAGACAAAGGAGTGGCTTCAGGACAAGTCTCTGAATGTTCTTGAGTGGCCCAGCCAGAGCCTAGACTTGAACCCGATTGAACATCTTTGGAAAGACCTGAAAGTAGTTGTGCACCAACGCTGCCCATCCAACCTCACTGAGCTTGAGAGGATGTGCAAGGAAGAATGGGGAAAAACTCCCCAAATCCAGGTGTGCCAAGCTTGTTGCATCATACACAAGAAGACTATAGGCTGTAATCGCTGCCAAAGGTGCTTCGACCAAGTATTGAGTAAAGGGTGTGAATACTTATGTATATGCAACATTTGAATGTCTTATTTTTAATAAATTTGCAAAATGTTCTAAAAAGTTTTTCACTTTGTCATTATGGGGTATTTTGTGTAGAATTTTTGAGGGAAAAGGGAATTTTATCCATTTTGGAATAAGGCTGTAACATAACAAAATGTGAAAAAAGTGAAGTGGTATGAATACTTTCCGGATGCACTGTATATAATCACCGGTACATTAAATTTAACACCAGATAGCCAAAGAGACAAACTAGGTGACTCATGAAGATAACAAAGCCCACAGTAATAAAGGAGCAGGGTCCTTACAGATTAGCTCATGGGTTTAGCAATTTTATGTCATTTTGTCCCCTCATCACAAGTTGAGTCAGTTCTTTGGGTAAATAACTAAGCACAGGAGACCACATGTCAGTGAAATACCTTTCATTATCTTGCAGCACACCACAAATCCTTTTATGAGGAAGGGCCCTAAATAACTCTCCATATCACAATGTAATGGGTGGTGGTTTATCCTTGATCAAGTTTATCAAGATACATTTTCTGGCCAATAAAAACAACTTGTCGCTAAGTTCAAAATGTGGTTGAGTCAAAGCACATGATTTTGAGGAAAGGCCAAGAATGAACAGGCCTGAATCCTTTCTGATGTGAATTTGGAAAATGCCACTTGGCTTTTTAGAAATTGCACCCCAGAATCTTTTAATCAGTTTCCACTACCAGAAATGGTGATGATAGGTTCTAACTTCTCTTCCACATTTATTGCATAGGAGAGAGGTCTGGCGATCCATCTTATTTAGTCTACAAGAGGCTTTATGTAAGCGGTGTAGAATTTGATAATGTATCTCTTTGAGCCATTGACATGTAAAGGTTGATCTGACTACCTTAATGGCTTCCTGCCAGTCATCCTCAACATATACTGTGTCAAGGTCCCTCTCCCATTTCCGTGCAATGTCTCTGATATCATGTGGATTAAAAAAGGAAAGCAGTGCATAAAAAGTGGGGATAAAACGTGTGATATTTTTGCAGTCAGAAGGAATCTCTCTATCTCATTTTACATGACCAAAGCAGAAGGAGGAAAATTTCTAGAGCCCACAAAATGATGGATCTGGAGAAACCCATAGAAGTGTTCTTTGAGGAGGTTAAATTTTGGTTGTAGTTGTTGAAATGTCAAGAGGACATTTTCTTGATACAAGTCTAAACAGGGCTTTGACTCAAGATGACCGCTCCCACAGAAAACAAGCATGGCAGCCCCGTTTGTAATATTAGATATTTGATCGAACTAAGCCGTCTCTATCAGCAGAAAGCTGTTGTATTTGAATTTTTTGTCGTGGTCTCTTGCCATACCAAATGAATCTAGAAAAAGCTCTTTCTACATCAGCTGATTTAAAGATTTAAAGGGGATATAGAGGCCATGGAAAATGTTCATTTCAAGTAAGCTTATATGTCCCATAAATGATAGGGAAAGATCATACCATCTCTTAAAGTCCTTCTTTATTTTATTAAGAGCTGGAGAGAAGGTAAGCTTCCATAGCTCTGTCAGGTCTGGCCAAACAATGACCCCAAGGTAAGTGAAGCCATTTGAGGAACATTTCAGGGGACAGCTGGAGGGCAGGTTTTGGACACTAGAGTTACCTAACAGCATAGCTTCCGATTCATCAAGATTTATTTTATAACCTAAGAAGGAGCTAAACTCATGAATATTAGACCACCAGCAGCAGCAGCCTGAACTGTTAAATCAAGGCAGAATGGATCCTTGCTTTGATGATGTTCACACCATCTGAATGTCCATTATTATGTGGATGGAAATCATCCAAGAATGGGAAATTTTAAAATATTGTAGATAAAGTTATACCTCACTATTGACAGCTTATCTTCTGAAGAATTTTACAAAACATACTTTCTCTCCCAAGTCAGTGTTGCAATGACTCGCAGGATTGCATACTTTCCTCTCCTTTCCTGTCCACAATGATAAAGTCATTGTCTGATGACAAAATTCATCAGACAAACTTGGACCAGCCTCAAACACAGCTCTTCAAGTTGTTGCTGCTGTTCGTAGAAAATCAACAATAATATGATGGAGGGAATGACAATTTCATTCATGTTTACAACATTCAAGACTTGGGTTATTCAACCTGTTGATGTCAGATGCCCCCCTGCCAAATGGCCAATCAGTATAAACTACAGAGACACGAAAGCATGTAGTTGATGAGGATATCGATATCAGGTAGATTTGTCATGTAAAGTCTGATAGTCCTTTTTCAATACTGACCATGAAACCTAAACAGACCAAACCATATGTATACAATTTAACAAAAACACGAACCTTGGTCCAGACCATGGTTCGGACTTTCAGGTGTGAAAACACCCTCGTCAGACAAGGCAGCATCTTTTCAATCTTCTATAGTCCAATTATGGAAAGCCTGAGTGAATTGCAGTCTTGGTCTCCTGGTGTTAGTCAACAGGAGTAGCACCGCATGCACAGTTAAGTCAGAAGTTTGGTCTTCTGCTGTAGTCAGTCTACTTCAAGATTGGACATGTTTTGTGTTCAGAGATGGTATTCTGCATACCTTGGCTGGCACCAACAACCATGTCATGTTCAAAGTCTCTTAAATCCCCCTTCTTCCCCGTTCTGGTGCTCGGTTTGGACTTAAGCAACTCATCTTATCTACATCTGCATGTCATGTCATTGAGATGCTGCCATGTGATTGGCTAAAAAGCTATTTGTAATGGCAAGCAATTAAACAGGTGTACCAAATAAAGTGGCCATTACATGTAAGTATGGCTAATATGTGTCCGGGTATATGCGCCAATTTTATTTCCCTTTCCACAAAGCAGTCTTTGCTTGTTTTTTTCCTCCACAGGCTTAACGCATGTCCTCAGATATTCACAAATAAAAAAATAAAAAATCTCATCTTGCTGACTTATATTTTTTGTGAATATTTTATGTGAAAAGTGTAAAAACAGGGCTATTTCTGTCCCTGCTCAGCCGACACGTACCCCCTAACACCAGTTTCGGGGTTGAAAAATTACACTACAGAATTTCTCAATCTTGCCAGTGATAGTTTTACTTGCTTGTGTAAGCCACAAAAAGGCATGACTGTGGACTTCAGTCTATTTTATGAATGTCAACAAATGTTCTCATTGGAGCTTTAAGTCCTTGTTCTTGTCAGTTTAGCTGGCTCTAAATTTTGGTCCAGCGGAGCTGTGTCATTTAAACAGATGGTCCTCAGCACCAGATTTAGAAACATGGGGGCTAAAAGTTGAGTATTTACTGTGATATTTCACTTTTCTTCTGTACTAAATCAACCCTCTCACAGTGCCAAAAGGGAATGAGTGAGAGAGGAAATTGAAGGCATAGGCTGTTATTTGCACAAATCCCCAAACCACATTTCCTGATTTATTTTGTTCACTCTTCTTCAACTCTTCTCCCCCACTTGCCTCTCCTTTCTCACTCACTCATTCTCTCCCATCCAATCTCTTTCTTGCTCTCCCTTCACAATTATCTCTTATAGCCTGTGAGGTGATTAATGGGTTTCATTTGACGCTTTCTCCTACCCTCCGCTGAGCACCAACAAATAAAACCAGTTCCCAACTCACAAATTGTCCCTCAGAAGAGCTGTAAAACTGGGAAAATACGGGGGCTGCAAAGACAATGAAGCAGAGCGATCTGGCCTTTGGAAAGAAAAACATTTGCTGAGGAACAGCCTGGAACAATTTCCTTTGTAGCCCCTCTCCCTAGAGAAATCCTCCTACTGCTAATCTACAGTTATTGCTACTGCTGACGGCAGTTTCCAAATTAAAGAGGGGAGGGGGATGAAAAACACTTAAGCCTTATCGTCTCTCTACTTCTCATTGCTACAACCAATTCTTCCTCAGTGTTTCAGGGAGACCTTGCAGGCCATGTTAATAGGCTTGTCATTGGCTTTGGAATGAGAAAAGGCTATGTTAAGCTACACAGATTATGAGGTCTCTGAAGCATGGATTTAAGTGCAACACTTACCATTATGCTGACAAAAATTCAAATATAGGAGAAAGCTAAGTTATTAATTTCAACCAACACACATACTAACAATTCAACAGGAGTTTTAAGCCAGTTTTCAAAAACCCTTGACTGCTTCTTGTACCAACTCCAGCCCCTGGATTAATAGGTATCTTTTGGCAAAGATACCTATTTATACCTATTAAAGATACCTAACACTTGAGTAAGGTTTTAAAACAACTAAACCTTTTTTCAGGCCAGCTGACGGCCTTGTCTGGGCCCAAGATAAAGTTAGATGCCCTCCCCTCCACCCTTTGTCTTCCTCCTCCTAGTATATACGTAGATATCATATCCTGACACACACACCTTCTCTCTTCCTAGCCTGACTCCTGACACCTGGCTGCTGTTCGGTTGCCATTCTAATCAATGCAGCATCGCATTCAAGACGCGTATCAGCCATATCGCAGCTCCGGATCAGAAGCGTATCAAGCGCAGCTCTGCTAAAGATATGCACCAAGTCTATTTTTGCTGCTCTATGCTTCCAATATGCATCAATCTCCACAGAGATGATTGTTCTAGACAGGATGTCAAGCACGAAAAATGTGAATCTCATTGGGTATTTCAAAATAAAACACCATATACGGACTCCCGACTGTGTATCAGTTTGTGTAGATGAGAAATACTTCCTGGTTAGGGATTTATTAGTAACACAGAACAATCCGATGGTCAATCCCTGATCCATGTGGACCCCAAACAACACAAGTAAATCTGCAAAAAACGAAAATTGAAAATCACATTGCTTTTTCACACATGGTAGAGGCTCAACAGTCTCTGAATTATATTCAAATTAGCAGGAAATGATCACAGAAAGGTAAAACGACCTGTTGTGAGCATGTTGCTTCCTTTTTACTTAGCCCAGCTGACCAGGGCTGCACTACGCTGCTGCTAAGCTCCAAATACGCATCCTGTGTGGGACAGACATCGCCGCTCAAAACAGATCCTGTATGTACTCGGCTTTTGTTTCTGTCAAAGATAACAGGCTCTATTTCCGTGCCCAAAAGCAGCGCGGCGGAAGGTGGTGCACCTCGCGCAGTAGTATTTTCGTCTGGCAGAGCCAGGTGCAAAGACAGTTTGGTATTTTCGTAGGCTGAGGCGCACCAAGGTCCGTCAAGTTGGGTGTGGTGGCGCAGTAGGGAGAGGTGACAACAGAATTAGCTGACGCAGTGACATTTTTGTACTTGTGAGCAGTGTGGAAAGTGCGCTGAAACCTTGCTGATTCAAACCTGATCAGCTTTAAGCGCAGGCGGAGCGCAGCTGGTCTAGTGGTATTTTAGTAGACCGACAGCGTAGTGGGCATACGTTACTGGCATGTTTCCACAATGTCAGGCACATTTCAGTTCAATAAATAATCAACAATAACCAATATTCAGTGCAACTATCTGAGTTAGCACATACATTTAGATATATATCAATATATTCCGATCTACACTACAGGCCAAAAGTTTGGAAGCAAAGCCATTACAGGCCAAACACTTGGGAGTAACTTCAAGTTTTTGTTCACAATGCTTTTTTTAAAATCCAGCATGAGTTTTATGTATTTTGGGATGTATTTACTCCATGATCAGATGTTGCTTTCATGAAAATGCACCATTTTACTTCATTTACTTTTAGATATACATTGATGTTAACAGACATCACAACTTCAAGGGTCACAACTTCAGTGCAAAAGCAAAGCACAGTTGGATTACTCATTTCAACTTTTTGGCTTTTGAGAGTCTGCATGCAAAAATTCTCATGAATCTCAACTGCGTTTAAACTACCGCAAAAATGGCTAGAAAGAAGCAACTGAGTAATGAAACAAAAGTACTGATTTGTACATTGAGGAAAGAAGAATACACAGAAAGAGAAATTGCAAAACACCTAAAGGTGTTCAACAAAGGAGTCCACTACTCTCTGAAGAGACGAGAGGAACCTGGAAGTTATGATGATAGAAAAAGACCTGGACGAAAGAGAGTTACTACAAAAGTAGAGGATAAACATAGCATTGTCGGCAAAAGACAGCACCAAAAATAATGTCAATGTCAATGTCACGTTTATTTATATAGCATCTTTATAGGACAGGCCAGACAAAGTGCTTTGCAGGAGAAAAGAAAAGCATAAAATAATAAAAGCTACAAATATGGCAACATTAAAAGTGCAACATACAATGACAACAATAAAAGAAAAGCGTACGCGAGTAAAAGCAGGTGACAACTCAGCCAAAGGCTAGGGTAAACAGGTAGGTCTTAAGGTGCGTTTTGAAGGAGGTGAGGCTGGTTGCAGAACGCACAGACAGAGGCAGGGCATTCCACAGAGTGGGAGCAGCAACTGCGAATGCCCGATCCCCTCTGCTTTTAAGCTGGGTTCTCGGCACATCTAAAACCATCCGGTCAGCAGACCTCAGGGATCTGGTGGGTTGGTGCGCCTTGACAAGGTCGGATAAATATTCTGGGGTCAGCCCGTGCAAAGACTTAAAAGCAAATAAAAGAATTTTAAAATCAATCCTGAACTTGACTGGGAGCCAGTGAAGTGAGGAGAGCACCGGTGAGATGTGCTCCCGTTTCTTGGTTCCGGTCAGGAGACGAGCAGCAGCATTTTGCACAAGCTGTAGGCGGTTAATTTCAGTTTGGCTGATGCCAAAATACAGCGAGTTACAGTAGTCAAGGCGAGACGAGATAAAAGCATGGATAACCTTTTCCAGATCTGGCCTCCTAAGATAAGGCTTGATTTTTGCCAGTAGCCGAAGCTGAAGAAAACTAGCCTTCACAACGGAGCTGATCTTCTTGTCCAGTTTAAGAGCCCCATCAACAATGACACCTAGGTTTCTGGCCTGGGAACCTATATAGGGTACTAAGGGGCCGAGGGAGCTGGCAAGGACCTGGACGGTGTCAGGGTTGCCAAAGAGGACAATCTCAGTTTTGTTTTCGTTTACTTTTAAAAAGTTCAGGTCCATCCATGTTTTAATATCCCTCAAACAGTTGAACACGGCCTGAAGGGATTCCTTGGAGGGGGCTCTTAGCGGCAGGTACACCTGCACATCATCAGCAAAGCAATGAAAGTGGATGTCGTGCTTCCTAAATATTGACCCCAGGGGAAGCATGTAATGGGAGAACAGCAGAGGGCCTAGAACTGACCCCTGAGGGACTCCACAGGTTAGAGGGGCCACTGAGGAGGAGCACTGCCCCAATTTTACACTGAAGGATCTGTCGGCAAGGTCGGATTTAAACCATTCTAGAGCGGGGCCTTTAATGCCTACAGTGTGCTCAAGGCGTGCTAAGAGGATGGAGTGGTTCACCGTATCAAATGCTGCTGTAAGGTCCAGAAGCATTAAGAAGGCACAATCACCCGAGTCAAGATTTAAAAGAAGATCGTTAAAAACTTTTAAAAGAGCAGTTTCAGTGCTATGAAGCAGTTTGCTCTTTAAGCAGTCGGGAAGGGATGCTGTCAGATGGGCAGGTGGCAGGGCGCAAGTGCTCTACTATCTCAGCCAGTGCAGAAAAAGAAACAGGCTCAAACTGGTGGAAAACAGCTGAGCTTGCTGCAGAAGCTGAGGAGTCCAGAGCAGGCTGAGGGAGTGGAGATCTCAGAGCAGACATCTTATTAACAAAAAATTCCAAAAACTCCTCACACAGAGAAGCAGATGGTTCCACAGAGACAGCATCACAGGGGTTCACAAGTGAATCAAAAACATTGAAAAGAACCTGGGGTTTATGAGCATTTTTGGAGACAAGAGTGGAGAAATATTCCGCTTTTGCAGCTTTAACGGCCTGCTGATAATTAACCAGACAATCCCGAAGGAGATCCCGAGAAATCTGGAGACTGTCTTTCTTCCACTTTCTCTCCGCCTGTCGACATGCGCGTCTGAGCGCACGAGTGGACTCATTTAGCCACGGCTCGATCTGTGGCTTAACATGCTTCAAAGTCATCGGCGCAATGGAGTCTAAGATCTCAGTGCAAAGAGTATCAAACCTTTTCATACAGGCATCCACACTGAGATCGCCAAAGTCACCAGGAGAATACAAGTCTTTCCAGGCAGCAGCAAACTGCAGATGAGTCGAAGAGTTAAAAGCGCGGAGGCAGCGAGCCGGCGCGGACTCCGTGGTGCGGGGTGCAGTCAATGAGAGGGAGAATAAAACAGGTAGATGGTCGGAAAGAGGTGTGTGACAGATTTCGGTTATTTGAACATTCAGACCATAAGACAGTACAAGATCCAGAGTATGTCCTTTCTCATGCGTCGGCTCGGTAACAGACTGCGTGAGATTAAGAGAATCTATGAGATTCAGAAAGTCTCTGGCCAGTGGTTTGGTCTCACAGCAGACGTGCACGTTAAAATCACCGACAATTAAGAAGTGATCATACTCCAGTATAATACCCGACACAAAGTTTGCAAAGTCCCGTATGAAGTCTTTGTTAAATGCTGGTGGTCGATAGACCACAGCAAAGAGAACAGTCGCAGGGATTTTTACCTGGAAGAGTTGGAGCTCAAAGCTGGAGCTGTTGACAGCTGGAGACTGCTGGACGTGAAAGGTGGACTTGAATACCGATGCCAGTCCTCCACCTCTGCCGGTGGTGCGAGGGGAGCTGAGGAAACTGCATCCAGGGGGAAGGAGCTCCGAAAAAGGAGCAACATCATCTTTCCGGAGCCAGGTTTCAGTCAGGAACATAAAATCCAGTTTGCGTGAGGTAAAGAAGTCATTGAGAAGAAACGTCTTGTTGGCGACCGATCTCACATTCAGCAAAGCCAGATGGAGATCAACGGTGTCCGAGGTTCCGACGGTCCACACCACGACTCCCGGTCCGAAAACGCCAGCAGCTAGCAGGTAGCAACAGCTGATCGGAGTCCGCCGAGCAGGTGCCACAGCTAGCATCCGGGAGCACCGGCCGGATCCATCGGGCCCCGATCCTCCTCGATCCCAGGGCGGGAAGATAGTCCAGGAAGCGCAGACCAATGCCACAGTTGTACACACAAACAGACCTCAGGTGAGCCTCCAGCCTGACCCGGTAGCCACAGCGTTTTCCCCGTCTTTTCCGGCGTCTCTGCCAGGCAAGATGGGGTGGAGGACGCCTCAGAAACGCCGGGATCCCCTCGAGGCATGGAGAAAAGTTCACCAATGGATCTTTACTGGAGAAACCTCCAATCTCAAGCAAAGTATGTCGGTCATAGGTGAGGAGAGACGACACCTCATGACAGAGAAGGTAGAACACAAAACACACAGCAAACACAGAGCAGAGCGACAGACGGCCAGCCGAACACCATGGCGCCATCTTGTCAGTAATAATAATAATAATACATTTTATTTAAAAGCGCCTTTCTGAGCACCCAAGGACACTTTACAGGGCATAAAAACACAGCTAGAAACATAATTAAAATAAATAAAAACAACATACAGGTGTGAAAGTAGACAGTTAAAGTGAGTATGCGATTCGGAATAGGTGTGTTTTGAGATTGGATTTAAAGTGGGGTAGTGAGTCCATGTTCCTGAGGTCCGGGCGGAGAGAGTTCCAGAGTTTGGGAGCAGAGCGACTGAAAGCCCTGCTCCCCATGGTGCTGAGCCGGGCAGAGGGGACAGAGAGGTGGAGGGAGGAGGAGGATCTGAGGGAGCGTGAGGGGGGGGATATGTGGAGAAGATCGGAGAGGTGGGGGGGGGGCAAGGTTATGGATGGCCTTGAAGGTGTACAGGAGGATTTTGTAGTTGATTCTGAACTTGACGGGGAGCCAGTGAAGCTGCTGAAGGACAGGGGTGATGTGGTGAAAAGAGGGGGTTCTGGTGATAATGCGGGCTGCAGAGTTTTGGACAAGTTGAAGTTTATGGAGGGATTTGTGAGGGGCACTGAAGAGGAGTGAGTTGCAGTAGTCTATGCGTGAAGTAACAAGGCTGTGGACCAGAATAGCTGTGGTGTGACGAGTGAGTGATGGACGGAGACGGTCAGTCAGTCAGTCAGTCAATTGTCAAATTGTCAAGAAAATAAGGGAGGAAATCAACATGACAAGGTCGAAACCCATATCTCTGACAACCGTGAAATGACATTTGAGAAAGGCTGGTCTGAAGGGTTGTGTATCTGCAAAAAAACAGTACTTAGTCCACAGAACAAGAAAAAGAGATATGAGTGGGCAAAAGCTCACAAAAATTGGACTTATGATGACTAGAAACAAGTTTGCACCGTTTGGTTCAAAACACAGAGTCTATGTCCACAGACAAACTGGTGAATGTCTGAAAGCACCACGTGTTACACCCAAAATTCAGCAAGGAGGTGGTAATTCCATGGTATGGGGATGTTTTGCAGGTGATGGAGTAGGAGATTTGTTTGAAGTAAAGGGTATCATGAAGAAGGAACAGTACCACTCCATCCTCCAGCACCATGCTGTTCCATCTAGACTCAGACTTGTGGCTCATAAGTTTGTTCTGCAGCAAGACAATGACCCTAAGCACTCTGCCAAGCTCTGCCAGGGTTACCTAGACAAAAAAGAAGAGGAAGGTGTTCTTCAAAAAATGGGTTGGCCCCCTCAGTCTCCAAACCTTTCTCCAATTGAGCTTGTGTAGGATGAATTGTATGGAGGACCAAAAATGACATAAGTAGAAATAAATAAATATATAAATAAATAAATAAAAGGATAAACAAAAAATTAAATACATGAATAAATAAATAGATTAAATAATCTTTGAAAAATAAAAGGTTATTTTTTAAAATGTTTTGCTTTAATTTATTTTATATGTATTTATATTTAATTTATTTTTTTTTTGTCACATTTATTTATTTATACTTTTATTTATTCCTACTTGTATTTATTTAATTATTTTTACTTTTATTTATGTATTTATTTATTTATTGTTACATATATTTATTAATTAATTAATTTATTTATTTATTTATTTAATTCCACATTTATTTATCTCCACATTTATTTATTTATGTGTCCGTGTCAGACGTGTCACACTGCAATGTAAATATGCAAATAAGGTAGGCAGACCTACGTTCGTCTAAAGCCCGATTGGTCACCAGACATGCCAGACAGAAGCAAACCTAATCGATCCCATGATAGACCTTTTTCACATCACAGCCACTTGTAGTTGCATGCTAGCTGCTACCCGAAGCTCAGTAGTAGGTCATCAGAGCTGTGTGTCAGGTTTTCTTCGGTTGCACAGACTCCAGCTGTGTCCAATGGTTTCTTGACAAGGTAAAAAGAAACTGTGTTATTTTGGGTGGCTAGTTTTGTTGCATCTTATGTAGCTAAACACACAAGATTTCTAGGCCGCATCGGTCAAATAATTGCGGTTGTTTGTCAATCTCACAATGTATATTTGGAGGATTAAATCCGAGCGAGTAAACAATGGGATGCAGAAGCAAGCAACAGGTGCGACTGCTACCCAGGGCGGTGCCTTCGTTTCCCACAGCCTCATCAGAACCGCTTTCAGCCCCTCCTGCGCCCCGAGACATGGCCACGGAGCAGGCAGAGAGGTCCTGCGCCACGGAAACGATAACTATGCACTGTTCACACCGAACACAAATTCGCGTGTCGAGGTTACATAATGTCAATGCAGAGACGCGTTTGGACGCAGATTCAACCGGGCGACATGGTGGACACGTTTGCTGTGGCACGTTAGTCTCATTTATGACTTTTGTAGATTACCTACTATGATTGAAGTCACGAGAAAAGTTGCCTAAGAGGAGCAAGTACCACGGTCTTTATAGCCCTTAAAGCCTACCATGGGTATAGTAGTTTACTAAAACACGAACTGAAAAAAAACACTGATAACGCCTACAGAATCTGTAAATCACAGTAGGTGGGAGGTTTTCATTGGCATGTGCAGCATCTATACTATGCCAGCAGAGGTCGTGCTTCACCACCAATCTTGTAGGATTTCCAAATAGTGCCGGCGTGTTGAGGCTGTGGCAGTGGGCAGTCGGATGCCACTTCGCATTTCTGATGCAGCCATTGTCCACAAGGAACATGCTATTTTTGCAAAATTTGGCATATTGGCAAAATTACTTATTCGTTTATTTATGGTTCGCTTTGGTTTGTCTATTATCACATTTTTTCCATTTCGTTTGTGTTACTAAATGTTTGTCTGTGTTCTGAAACAGGTGTATGAGAAGCTTTTGAAATGTGGATTCACAGGAGATGGGTTGTGAAGAGCTGATGCTGTGGAGGCCAGGGGCCTCATGTATCAACACTTGCTTGGGACTCATACCGGAAACGAGCGCACGCAAGGTCCGTCAAACTGAAAAAAATTCGTATGTATCAAGGTGTGCGGGCGCCGAAAGCCACGTGTGTTTCCTTGATAAATCCCAATCAGCTTGGAATTGAGCGCAGATTTCGGAGTGACCGGGCCCGCCCCCGTTACGCCCACCTATAAATATGCAGATTTATTTAAATAGGGTATCCCTGTGCTCGCACGCGGACAAAATGACAAGAAAAACGAAATTTACGGCGTGCGAGGTGGAGGTGCTGGTGGCGGAGGTGGAGGAGTGACAGCGTGTTTTGTTTGGCAGCCTGTCCAGTGGCGTCAGTGCAAAACGAAAACGCTTGGAGTTGGAGAAAGTTTGCGAGAGGGTGAACGCAGTGGGTTCCGAGACATGCACCCCCGCCGAGATTAAAAAAAAGTGGTCGGACCTCAAGGTGGAGGTCAAGCGGCGTACAACTGCCCTCCGGAGGAGTACCGGGCAGACAGGTGGGGGTCCGGGGGAGGAGACCCTCACGCCGTTTGAGCAGCGGGTGGTGGCGATTATGGGGGGCGCCTCTGTGGGGGGGATTGGGGATACCTGCGGCGACTCAGACAGCCTGCCGGAGGGTAAGTGGCGTGTCACACAAATGTCCACATGCTTTGCCATAGATGTAAACGCAACAGATACACAGAAGCAGGAATTGAAATGAACCAATATTTTTATTGTGTCACAGAAATCAATGTGTCGGCCGTGTCGCAGGCTTGCGGAACCCCAGCCCGCGGCCGCCCGTCCGCCGGCTTGGAGTTGTCGGCCAGGACCAGCGGCATTTGGGCCACCCCGGCCCCCGGGCCCCAGCACCAGTGCGCCGACAGGCGGTGGAGCGTCCACCAGCCGCAGCGCTTCCGGTTGACCACCCGGACCCAGTGGAAGGGTCCTCACGGAGGCGGTCCTGCAATCGCAGGAAGAAATCATCAGGGGGATCGCGGGGATCAACGAGCGGCTGGACCGGCTCGTAAATGTCCTCGAGTGTCTGGTGGAGAAAATAAATTAATTAGCTCACTGAACTGTGTATTCACTTCTTACCCATTCACACTGTAGCGATGAGATTCTCCCGCGCAAGGACGGCAGCCTGGCAGGGATCAGCTCGCATCCCTCCGTCTGCTGCTGGTTCGTCATGTGGGGCGACGTGCTGCTCGGCCACGGGGATGTGGTGCAGGTCCACTGCGATGTGTGAACGCTTGTCACATAGTGAGTCACCAAACACCGCCACACAGCGTCGCCAAAGTGCCGTCAACGCAAGTATCGGCTCAACGCCAACTTCTACACCACCTCCTCACTTTGCGTGTATTTTCGCTGGAACCGATGCTCGTGTCGCGATGATAAATCTGGACGTTTGCGCCGATCTTGGCGAATGCAAGGTTTTCTGGCGCCGCCAGCGTTGATACATGAGGCCCTAGCTCTTTTAAACCACCTTTACTGGACTTCCACCTCTCCCACTCCTTACAGAGATCCAGATGTGATGGAGGCCAAGTGGGAAAGCATCGTCAACCATGTTGACCAGGAACTTACACTGGCATTGATCACTACCTTCTAGATAATGTATATGGATGACCAAGATAAGTCAATTACATTTTTTTTATTATGTTTCTCTCTATTTTGTTAACATTGTATTAAAAACAATTCAGTGAACTGTATGAACTTTTCTTTTATTCTTTGTAACACTTGTGTGCGAAATGAACATGACAACTTTAATATTAGAAAGTTTTGTGTGTGTGTAAACATTTCATAACTTAAGATTTAATTTATAAATCACTCTTCCCAACCCAAACAATTTGGAGTCTTAACATATTGGTCAAGATACATTGACTGCTCTTGGGTGAATGTTGTTCTTCAGAGGGCCCAGATGTTCATGAACCCTGACTGCTACACTATCAGGAGCAAAGATAAACTACTCAGTCTTCGCTGCATTGAGTTGTTGGAGGTTCTTGGACATCCAGCCCTCAATGGCAGCCAGACATTCAGGGGGGGGGGGGGCCCCCCAGTGTCATAACTTAACGAGCCAGCTATCACAGAGAAACATCTGTCACTAAGGAAGGAGG